CTTTTGGTATTATAATTTAAAGAAATTTATATAAAACATCTTATAAATTCTTACATCTGATAATACGTATTAGAAGCTAGTTTGATGCTAGTTTTGTTATTTTCATACTCATCTATTCCAACCACAAGATTTAATTGGATTATCAAATTTTAAATAAAAAAGTAAATCTATTTGAAATTGACACGTGTCAATTCATGATAGGTTATTTAGGTACTTTATTTTTTTTTATCTCTTTTCGCACTGCATATCCTGAAATTGAATATCAAAATTACTACCGCTTTTATTCCTCCATTAGAAATGAAAATTTGAGTTTTTGGAGCATCAAAATGAAATATTTTACAATTTAATACCCCATTTGATTTCTCCATTTTGACTTGCTCTTAGATCTTAATAAAACTATCATTTTTAATATATATATATATATATATATATATATATATATATATATATATATATATATTTTGGAGAAATAATATTTTGGGCACATTTAGGTTGTTGAAATAGTGCCTTTTGGCACTATACATGTTTGAAAAACAATAATAGCATTTTATTTTTTCGAGATCAAAAAAATAGTTTCGAGATCAAAATGGTGTGATTTTTATTTTTTTCGAGCGCATAAAGTGCGAAAAAATAAAAATCACACCGGATAATTGAAAAAAAATATTTTTTTTTTACAAAATAAAATCAAATAAACTTTTATCTGTAAACTATTCGATTGATAGATCTTTTATTGTAATTAGTGGAAATATTAGATAGAAATATTTGGAAGACAATATGATTTTCCAAATAACTTGATAACGAAATAGCTGAAGATTTTCTTTTTCGTAAAATATATTTTTGTGATAAAAATATATAATTTTTATATACCACTAAAAAGTAAAAATATTAAATTACCTTTATTAGCTTTAAAATTCATGTGAGGTGCATTATGCATGATATATTGCGTTTTGGTGGTACAAAGTGCTATTAATTTGTTTTGAGGGTGCAAAATGCCAAAATAATATATTTCAAGGGTGCAAAGTAGGATTAAGCCGCGCATTTAGTATAGTTATATTACATAATAAATAAATAAATAAATAAATAAAACGTACTCTCTATGTCCCATAATAACTGTCTATTTTTAAAAATATTTTATTTCATATTATATTATCTGTCACTTTAGATTTCCAATAGTGCATTAATTACTTAATTTCTAGTTAATAATCATAGTAACTGTTTTTAATACTCTTTTTTAATCAATCTCTCTCTCTTATTATTTATATATCAATTTAGTCTAAAAGCATACATCAAAACTAGAAACGACTATTGAAAGGGAACGGAGGGAGTAATTAATAGTCGACCTAACTTTAGGAAAAAACTTAATACACTAACCCCTTTATAAATTACTCCCTAGTCCCTAACATATTGCAAATTGGTATTCCACCTTTGACTTTGGAGAAAGCCAATTTACAAAATTATAAACCAACCCCCGCCGCTCTTGCCACGTGTAAGTTAACCATTGGTTCCCCAAAATCAATTCTAATTGGGTACCGCACTATTGGAAATGCCAATTAACGTTCATATACCAGACATTTTCTCACTTTCACCCACTCTCTTCTACACACACACATATATATATATATATATATCATCGCTGATTCAATTTCACATAATTTTGAAATGGACACCTCGAATCCGGCAGAGTCAACTGCGGTTGAATCGCCGTACACGGCGCTGCTCACGGCGGCGTCACTGATACCAATTCCTCACTATTTATTGGGGATTTCGTTGATCGGCGCTGTAATTCTGTACAATTTCCTCGAGATTCATTTCTTTCAGGACTTATTCAGCGGATTCAGGGGACAACCGGTGGTTCTGACTTTCGATCCTCACTCTCAACTCTACCACGACGTCGTTTCCAAGTGTAGAACACTCCACGGCAGGTAAATGTGGAAATTGTCACAAAGCGGAACAAAATCGAGAGAGTTGACTATCAGTTCGACGTTGATGAAATTGTCGATTTTTTTCCTCATGTTTTTGCTTGTTTTTTTTTGCGGTCGAATATAGGTACTTGTCGACTCCATGGTTATCGAGTCCGCATCTCCAGACTCTCTTTCTGCATTTTTTCGGAAATTCGCCAGTTGTCGATTATAGAAGGTGAGATTTTGGTCAAGATAAAATTTTGATTGGGTGCATTTGAGTATCTGGAATTGTTGATATATTGCAATATAATAATTCGATGCACTTGTTCAGACAGATTTTTATGACCTCTGATGGTGGAACCTTAGCTTTAGATTGGGTCGAAAATGCCGAAGGTAACAAGATTTTGCCCTCTCCTTTTTTGTCCAGCTTTGAGGATAATGAGTTGTAAATTACATCTTAAAACAAGTGATCTATGTTTGCATCAATAATATCTTTTTTATATATTCACGACATAAGCTAAAATACAGAGTCGAGGACTTGAATAATTTTATGTTTCTGATACCTCCTTTAAATGATTTTCTAGATGTTGTATTAAAATGAAAAAAGGAAATTAGAAAAGATTTGTGTGACTGGAGAAAAATAAAAGTAAGCAAATACGAGCTATTCGGGCTAGTTAATACTTCAACTGTATCCGATTAGAATTTCGTACTATTTGATGTGAATAGATATTCCTCCTCATTTGCCTTTTCGAGTCATATACATTTTGTGGATAAATTGCTGTTGAATATTTTAGCAACACCTGGCCTTGAAAATATCATTAACCTGGCGTATTCGACTTTTGATAGTTTTTACTAATTTTTTCCACTTTCTTTTTAGTTAAGAAACAAGTGTTTCAAGCGAATGATGCACTGCAACGAGATGACAAGAATCCCATCATAATCATCATTCCTGGCTTAACAAGTGAATCTAATACTCCTGTAAGTTATCTAGATCATTTGACCATCATTTTCTATTGTGTTAGTATGTTTCCAGTCACAAAACAATGGTACTCATATCCTTCATGGTGTAATGTATGAACTAGACTGTAACTCGTCCTTCTGGATTAGAAACAGATAAAATTTCAAATGTTGGTTTTTCGTTGCTTTCGCCTATTGCCTCTCTTCCCAGGAGCAGTCATGTAGCTAGATGTGCTTTTTTCTTTTTTCGATGAGATTTTTTTCTTAAATTTTTTGCGTGCATTAATTCGAAGACAAGTGAAATGCTACAACAATCTTGGTTTCATTGTAGTCAATGAGAAGTTCTACTCAAACGTGCGAGTATTTTTTAACAACGTTTATACTCTAAGCAGAAAACACTACGATATTCATCATGATATTCACTAGCTTTAGAATCTAATTGATAGTGGAGATGGTTTGCCGATTGTTATCAGTTATGCTCGACTGCATTTCTTTTGGGAAACTATGTATCTGTTTAGTCTTAGAATATTGTCTGGTCGTGGGCCTATGCGCTATGTTCTTCGAGTATATTCCATAAGACCAACCATAGAGAATGAAAAA